GCTTATTCTAACCATCTGCCCGCTGTTTATTTGTATGTTCACCGTGAATTGGTTCGGAATATGAGTAACTTGCTTATTTTTAATTTTTATGGGTTGCTTGGTTAATTTTTATTTTTAATAAAAAAATATTTATTTTAACTTTGCATTGAGTAGAGATTTTAAGGCTCCCCAAACACGCTCGAACCCCTCATCGGTCACGGTGCGCAGGTGAACTCTTGAAATTTTGTCTCCAGTCCCGCATTTCCTCGTATCTTGTCTTCAGTTCTGCAGCTGCTCCTTTGGAAACTGAAAAATCGAGTAAATTTATGAGGTTGTTCATGGCTTTCTTTGACTGCTTCACATTTCTACATAAAACTGAAACCCTTCAACTCGCTTTTCCTCGACGACATTCAATTTTATGCGCAAAACCATTTCCTCTCAACAATTCTCTTTTAACTCAATTTCGTGTTTATTGGGATTTTGTAGTGTTTTTATGCTTGATTTTGTCGTTTTCTTCGAATTCGTGTGCAGAAAATGGCAAGTTTGGTGGAGAGGCTCCGGGATCGATCAGATCGAAGAACCTTTTACACCATAGATGAATCAGATGAAGATGCTGATTTTTTACCAAAGAAATCTGGCCCTTCCCAGGAGAAAATTCAGAGAATTGTTAGGCCTGACGCGGTAATTGCATATATTTTTCCTTTTCCGCTCAGTGGCTTTTATCAATTTCATTCATTTAATACATATTTCTGTCTGTGAAAACTAACTCATCAGTTGTCATTTTAGCTTTTAAGAAAGCAGGCGTTCTATGTTGTTTCTTCTGGTTTCTGATGATCGTGGCCTGACCCATTTCTAGTAATTTTTCTAGTAATTTCAAAGTGAAAAGATTACACATTTCTGGGTTTTTTGTTGACTCATTTTAGGAAAGTCTCCTTCGAGGAAAGACAATTTATGCTGTTTGAGGAAAAAATTATACCTTTCCATGTTTATACTTATTATGCATTACACGGTTGCTGGCAGTTGAGCCAACACATACTGGATGCCAGCAGTGGCACCGGCAAGTAACTCATTAGTTGTCATTGTAAGTGTTTTGAAAGAAGACGGTTCTGATTGTTGCGGCCGACACATTTCCTAGTAATTGTAGACACATTTCCTAGTAATTGTAAAAGGAAAATTTTCCGCGTTGTGGTTTTTTGGATGACTCACTTTAGGAAATTTTTCTGCGAGGAAAGACAATTATTTCAAGGAAAATGATATTTTTCCATTTTATTAGTTAATACAAACGAAACCGTTGCTGGCAGTTAAGCCTCCACTTGGTGGATACCATAGGCCCAGTGGTGGCACTGATGCACGTGGCGAGTGAATTATACTAGTGTCTTTTAGTGGAGGAAAGTGATCTCATTTTAACTACGTGAGTAAAATTTTTAATTGAATCACTCCAATCATTAATCCTGTTGATGCTTGAGGCTGGCTATGATGGAGAGGCTGTTGTCCGTGAGAATGGTGGATCAAAGACGATGAAACTTGCTTAAAGTACTTTGTACTGAAGAATGATTGGAAATTGGATAGCTCATGATTTGGAGATTATGATTTAAGGTTTTATTTTCTTCAATTTTTATTGACGCTGCATATACTCATAAACATCCTTTTAAGGCCTTTCCTTTCAGTTTTCTTTTCTCACATTACACTGTTTTAAGAATTTTACATTTTTTAATCTCAAATTCATTATGAACTTATACTTCACACATAGGAGCTTGTCTCACCTGGTGGTGGAATTTAAAGCGAACTTCCTCTTCTAAGCTTTATTTTGTATCTTCAAACTTTGGAGTTCCAGTGGAGATTTTGCAGCGATTTTTATGTTTTCTATCTTACTAATGAGAAGAGCGGTGACGGTTCAAATATTTATATCATATTCTAGGCATGTCTGAACATTTGCTGAAGTTACTGGAATTCATTACTTAACAACTGTGGATTATATATGTGAAAATTCGTACACACCTCTTTCTATGCATGCACATCACTTATACTGTAAATTTTGTTATACTTTTGAAATGATTTGTCTATGATAGTTTGACGTCTTATTTCTTCCTGTTAATAGAAGGATGGTTCATGTCAAGCCTGTGGGAGAGATGAGAATCTATTGAGCTGTGAAACATGTTCTTATGCCTACCATCCCAAGTGTATATTCCCTCTGCTGAAAGCTCCTTATCCTAATAACTGGAGATGCCCTGAATGTGTAAGCCCCTATTACTCTCCTATTATATGTCTAGATTGAAACAATGATAATGTGTTTGCTCATCTTGATTTATAATATATGTTTGCAGGTTAGTCCTCTTAATGAAATTGAAAAGATACTTGATTGTGAGATGCGTCCTACAGTTGCCGAGGATGGTGATGCATCCAAGTTGGGCTCCAAGCAAGTTTTTGTGAAACAATATCTAGTGAAGTGGAAGGGATTGTCCTACCTTCACTGCACATGGTAGTTTAGTCATTATGATGTTTCTTGGATACGTTTTCTGAAGAAGTGGTTCTCTTTTTATTTGAAGGCATTTTAGTTTTACACATGCTGTTTTTGGTTCATAGGGAACAGCCAACTTTTTGAAATAACATATTCTTCTTAGTAGTTTCTTTTTTGTAAATTTAAAAAAATGATAGTATTTTTACATAATTTAGTATTATTTGTATTTTCTTTGAACAAAAAGTAAATTTGAAATTAATGTAGAGATGTAGCTCCAACATTTAGATGGAGGGGGTGATTGTTTCATTCTATGTTCTTTTGTTTAAATTTTGCCTCTCTTATTCTTTATTTTTGTATGGATCATTTGTAAACCCTGTCTTTGACATATTTTAAAACTCTTATGCACCAGAATTGGTTTCCTGAATAATGTTGCAGGGTACCGGAGAAGGAATTTGTTAAGGCATACAAGGCAAATCCGCGTTTAAAAACGAAAGTAAACAACTTTAACCGTCAATTTTCCTCCATAAATAATTCCGAGGATGAACATGTAGCAATACGGCTGGAGTGGACCACTGTTGATAGAATTCTCGCTTGCAGGTATTGCGTACATGTTTGATGATCTGATATCTTTTCCTGAGTAAATTTTGATGTTCAGTATTAGAGGAATTTATAACTTTAGATCAATCAGACGATATTGCATTTTTTTTCCATTTATGATCTTTTAATTTGCCAAGTCATTGGTCACTGCCAAGAATCTGAATAATTATGAAACCGTTTGTTGTTTATCTGATATTTTTTTCTCGAGTTTAGGCTTATTTTCATGAAACCAGGAGGTGAAACTGCTAGTATTCAACTGGAAAATTATTTGCTTAAACATGTTCTATGGTATATACTTGTGGTATACGAGATGTGCAGCAGAACTTTTTCATTCCACCAGTGTCCTGCTATCGTTTATCTTTTCTTCCCATTTATTTTTCCCACGAGAATGGTGGTTGTAATGGTTCATTTGATGGAAATAGAAAGTTTAAATGCGAAAGAATTAGAAGAAACTATAGGCTCTAATGTGCAGGCAGGAGGGGTTTTTCTTAATGTGTGGTTCGATAAAGTGAGTAGCCATATAACCACCCGCATAAATTTAAGTTAAGATTTCTTTTGACGTTGTTGGATTTTAGCCGTTTAGTCTACTCTTTCTAAGGACAATTATTCATTTGCTCTGTTTCTCATGAATTTTAGTTTTTAAAATAGGTGATCCTGCTTTGACTAGCACAAAAAGATTTGTGGAACGTTTTAATGGACCAAGTTATCAGTTTTCATTTTCTTTCTCCATTTTAACAGCTCCCTGCGTTTATATCTTCTTGGTTCATAAATATGCTTTTTTAAATGTTTTTGCAATAATGGAAGTTATTAATTTTGATATACTGGTGAGTGTTGTAATATTAGGGTACTTGACAAGGGAGTGGAAGAGGAAAAAGAATATCTTGTGAAGTGGAAGGAGCTTCCATACGAGGAATGCTATTGGGAGTTGGAGTCAGACATTGCATCCTTTGAGAGAGAGATTGAAAGATTTAACAAAATTCGGTCTCGTGCTGATAAAATATCTATGGCAAAGCAGAAGAACTGTCTCCATGATGACACAGAGTCAAAGAAGAAACTGAAAGAGTTTCAACATTATGACCGCAGCCCTGATTTCCTTTCTGGAGGTACACGCGCTTCCTGCTAATTTGGATGTTTACTGAGTTGAGTATAAGTATTTTTTGTCATCTCTTTCATTAATAATTTGGTTCAAATGAAGGTTCATTGCATCCATATCAGCTTGAAGGATTGAATTTCCTACGTTTTGCTTGGTCCAAGCAAACTCATGTTATACTTGCAGATGAGATGGGACTTGGTAGGCTATCTAGTATCTTTTACAATCTTTCCTTCCTCCCGTCCCTTAGTCTCACTTTGAGGCCAAGTTTTTGTATCTCTATAATGCTATTGCTATTTTGATAAATGCTTGTGATTGCAGGCAAAACCATTCAAAGTATTGCCTTTTTGGCGTCCCTGTTTGAGGAAAGTATCGCTCCTCATCTTGTAGTTGCTCCACTTTCAACTTTGAGGAACTGGGAACGTGAATTTTCCATTTGGGCTCCTCAAATGAATGTTGTAAGTATGCAGGATAGTTAAGGTAATTTAAATATTAGCTCATATGTGTACTCAGCAAGAGTTAACTGTTGCAGGTGATGTATGTTGGCTCTGCCCAAGCTCGTGGTGTGATCAGGGAATATGAATTCTACCATCCTAAAAATCAGAAAAAGAGTAAGAAGAAGAAATCTAGTCAAGCTGTTAGCGATAGCAAACAAGATAGAATAAAATTTGATGTCCTCCTGACATCATATGAAATGATTAACATGGATTCAGCGTCACTGAAACCTATCAAGTGGGAGTGCATGGTAACAATCTATATCCCCTTTATGCTTTTATGTGTGCATTTTATGCCTTCTTAGAAGTTATGCTGACATCTATATATAGATAGTTGATGAAGGCCACCGTCTTAAGAACAAGGATTCGAAGTTGTTTTCTTCATTGAAGCAGTACTCTTCCAGACACCGTGTACTCTTGACTGGAACTCCGCTTCAGGTATGTTGAAATTCGTGCAAGGCTTCAGTTTTCTGCTGTTTTCCATTTCGAGTGCAATTAATTGGAATGTCATTGTGCGAGTCAAAAATATTGACTTAAAAAGAAGTACGTCATTACTGCTTGCAATGGCCCACATTTCACTTTTACATTTGTTGTGAGGGTGAGATTTTATTGTTTACACAATACCCTTGGGAAAGAAAATTCCTTTGTGAATATCACTTTGCAGTTTTGGTGTGCTTGCCTTGGGATCAACTAACTTGGAATGTTTCTGTACTTGGTTTATGGTGAGAAAAGTTATGCACAGCCTATTGATTCAGGATTAAGAAAGATTTTAGTTTGTTTGTGTTAAGAATTGGGGTTCCATCTTAAAATGTCAACCTTATTAAGAGGAGTAGCCCAAGATCTCTTTATTAATTGGTCTGTGTCAACATTATTTATCGATGTGGGATATATATCCCTTAACACGCCCCCGTAAGACGGTGGCTCATTTGAGCAAACCAATCTTGACATCCACGTGCTCATTTTAGAGTCTTAACGGGATCGAATCGCTCGTTTGAGCATAATGGGCTCTGATACCATGTTAAAAATTGGAGTTCCATCTTAAAAGGTCAACCTTATTAAGAGGAGTAGNACCCAACATTGCATAATTGGGCCTAACTCTGATACCATGTTAAGAATATTGAACCTAACTCCCCTAATAAGCCGGTTTTATTAGGTGGAGTTAAGCTCAATATTCCTAACAGTTTGATGTAGGGAATTTTGGAGCGGTTTGATCTGAAGTTTTTCGGGCTGGGTACCCTTTTGAACTGCAACAGTTCTTATATACCAATTTAGCTGCTTGGAACTGTATTCATCAAGCTAAATGGGATGCATAGTTTTGAATGAACCATATTCATCAAGCTAACCACATGAGAGTTAGGTAGTCTTTCTCGCTAACTATAGTGTTAATGTTCAAGAAATTGAATTACATAGCTGGAAGTTCATAAATTAAAACCTCCAGTAGAGCTCAAATGAAAAATGCAAAGTGGTTTACTCATTTGTTCTTATTCCTTTTAATTTGGTAGAATTACACAAGTTTACTGTATAGCGTCCTTTGGTGTTGCTTTTCAGTTACAACCTTGATCAGATCTATTTTTGTTTCTCGTAATGATGACTTAAATCCTTGATCCACTGCTCTTTCCTATTACTTTTCCAGCTGTACTACTGTGATACAGCATATTATTTGCAAGTATGATATCGCTATCGAAAATTAATGATCAACGGTGTTGTTAGTTTTGTATCTCTCCTGGGAGTACTTTCCTTCCATGGTATTTTGGTTCATGGAAGTGCCTTTTAGTCCACTCAGCCGACTTACATATACTAATTTGTCACCTTTAATTTTGTTCTGAACTGATCAATGACCACTGCTTTATTCATTTCAGAACAATCTGGATGAACTTTTCATGCTTATGCATTTCCTTGATGCTGGAAAGGTTAGTCCTTTGCGACTGTTTAGATGCTACTTTGTGTAAGACATCTTTGAAGTAAAACAGCAATGAGCTGGCTGTCAATGTTGGCAATATATTCAAGTGATGATGGTGAAGTTTCCTTAGTTTTTTATAAATGCTTTGCAGTTTGCAAGTTTAGAGGAGTTCCAGGAGGAGTTCAAGGATATCAATCAAGAAGAGCAGATTTCCAGACTTCATAAAATGTTGGCGCCTCATCTTCTTAGAAGTATGAATCTGAAATTCTTCTCTAGACTATGCAGTTCAAATTTGAATTTTGGCATTTTTTTTATTTGGATTTTAGTTGCTACCACTTAGTTGGTGAGCAGGAGTCATAGAGCATTTACAGTATGCTGTACTAAGTGGTGAAAATTCATTCTGAAATTGATATTTCAGTTAGGTAAGAGTGCCCTTTCACACCAAAGCTTGTGATTGGAAATTGAAAAAAAGGGCAGGTTTATGAATTCCCATATGTGAATTTGTGGTTGATCACACTCCATCATTCAAGTTCTGCTCTATATTCCAGTCCTGCATGATAATCGAGCAAATACCTCTAAAAGCATAGCTTTTGTGCTGGAAGAGTATAATTATTGTTTGAATTCATCCTGATTGCAATTCCCTGTCAACTAAGCCAACCTTCTTCTCCCACATCATCTCCTTGCCCAGGCTACTATGCCCTAGCTGTTAATTCTCTGCTGTCGGTGCTCTTTGCTCCTTGTTCTTTGTCCCCCTCATTTTCTAGCCCTATATGCACTGGTAATTAATTCTCTGATTAAAAAACGCCCGCCTTTCTTCAGCTTACTGCTCCATGCAATCTGTATGGTATGATTTGTTCTGATGGCTAGGTTGCACACGAAGCTATTTCTCCAAGGCAATTGCAAACGTGACTGTTATATTGCCTACTTCCACCTTGAATGTATCAGCTGCAGGAGCTGGATTAACTGTACTGTTAGATTGTCATTTCTACTAAGACTCTTGATGAACTGTAGACATCTAAGCTTATGTTAGACATCCAAAGGTAATGTTATCGTCATGGTTTAAAAAGGCGAAATTGAGGCGCTAAAAAATTGCTCTGGCACGAATGTTTATTGGGTTTAATGAGACTTACACCTGTATTAATTGAGGCGTAAGACTCAATGTGCATGCCTCAGACCTGTGAGGCTCAGACTCTCTTCGAAATGGCTGGAGTACTCGCGTCGGCATGACACGACACGGGTACTTGTATGAAATATGGGGCGGGTTCTTCAATTTTCAAGTCGACACGGCGGCATCTGGATGTGGGGTGGAGGCAAAGCAGGGGGTGTCGAAGGTGGCAATGGAAAGAAGCAATAACAGTGTTGGAGAAGACAAAGTTAGAGGATTTATGGCCCGAGTTATCTGGATGTAGGATGGAGGCAGAACACGTGGCGACACGAAATAAAACATTTGGAGAAGACGAAGGGATTTATGGCCTAGGTTTTGCATGTAATGATGGGTTAATTGTATGGGTTGGGCTAGGGTAAAATAAATTTTAGATGGTGAGTTTTGGTTATATGGACTAATTTTGTTGGGCTATAATAGTGTTTGTATTTAGGGCTTGTGGGTGTATATGTTATGTACATGTAATTGGGGCTATTTTGGGCTTAATTTAGATTGGGTGGGATGACTTGATTTATTTGTGACTTAATTATTATTCAACTCTTTATGTGAATTTTTGAGGAAAAAAATTAAAGTTTGAAAGACATACTCACATATCCGTGTTCAAAATTTGGTCTCTTTTTAGCCATATTCCCATAACTTACATTTTAGAAAATAAAAGATCCGACACTTAGATACGTACCCAAGTTCGAGCATCATAGCCTCAGACAATGAGAGGCGTGTGCCCGTCTTTAATCACTTGGGCCCCACTTTTTATTTAAACCTAACAAATTTCATTAGTTTGACGAGCTTTGGAAATCCACAAATTTCTTTAATTATTTATTAGTCAGCCACAGCTTTAGAAATCAACTACATTAAAACTTACCATATTTCTTTGATTGTTTATTAATTAGCCATAAATAAAAATAAATTAGTAGTCCAATCACAATCTAAAACACAAACACAACACTAGAATTGCAGCACACCCACCACGGCGCAAAACACCTACGTCTGTGACATCACATCGGCTAAGACGACATTACACCCGCGATGACGGCATTGATTTTTGTTTGTACTTTGTTTGAGTTACAACTTTATTGATTTATTTTGTGTTTGTTTGCATAATATCCTAATTTGTTCTATTGTTTTCGGAATTTTAAAGTTTGTTTATGCTATTACAAGCTTATTTTTTATTTTCTTGAATTTTTTTTGGTTCATTAATTAATTTTTGTGCTTTGTTTGAGTTGCAACTTTATTGATTCATTTTGTGTTCGTTTGCATAATATTCTTATTTGTTCTATTATGTTGGGAATTTTAAAGTTTGTTTATGCTATTGCATGCTTATTATTATTATTTTTAATTTATTTTTTGGTTCATGGTGAGGCCTACGCCTCAAAGCACCTTGAGGCTTACTCCTCACCTCGCCTCGCAGAAGGAAAACGCCTCAGTACCCAATTTGTCTTTTTAAATACTCGTCTTTGAAAACAAGATTTCAATGATATGCATGTGGCCTTCTTTGACATCTTAAACTTTTAGATAAAGTGATTTAACACTATTCTTGATATTTTCTTACTGTATTATTGACCTTGAATGTGCGTAAGGAGTTTTCCCTTTGATTTGCAGGATTGAAGAAAGATGTCATGAAAGAACTACCTCCTAAAAAGGAACTTATTCTGCGGGTGGAATTAAGTAGCAAACAGAAAGAATATTACAAAGCAATTTTGACTCGTAACTATCAGATACTGACTCGCAAAGGTGGTGCCCAGGTGAGCCACCAATAATTGGCATGTAATTTCCTTTTCATGTAATTATACAACTGTAACCTTTTTATGTAGAAACATCTAACATGATTTACTATCTTGATTGCTAGATTTCTCTTATAAATGTGGTTATGGAACTGCGCAAGCTCTGTTGTCACCCCTTTATGCTGGAAGGTGTTGAGCCTGAGGATGCAAATGAGTTTCACAAGTAATATTTTGCATTTGCATTTGAAGTTCTGTTCTTTCTTGTCCGTGAACTAAAAGTTGGTTAGATGCCTATATAGAACTATGAACTTTTATGGTGCTTACTATGATGCTTGGTAAAGTAATGTGCATAACCTTGAGTTTTATTCTGTTCAAGTTGTATTATATGTACAGTTGTTCCTCCCATGTCACTATAATGATCGAAGTTTTTTTGATCATTTGTGTGATAGACAACTGTTGGAATCCTCGGGAAAATTGCAACTTTTGGATAAGATGATGGTTAAACTTAAAGAGCAAGGCCACAGAGTTCTGATATATTCTCAATTTCAGCATATGTTGGACTTATTAGAAGACTACTGTAACCATAAGGTATAGATTAATTTAAGTTGCTTATGAGAAAAACATAGCAAAATCTATTTTAGCTGATGTTTTGTTTGTTATATTTGTCAGAAATGGCAATACGAAAGGATTGATGGAAAAGTTGGTGGATCAGAAAGACAAATTCGAATAGATAGGTTTAATGCAAAGAATTCAACCAGATTCTGTTTTCTTCTGTCAACTAGAGCTGGGGGTTTGGGAATAAACCTTGCAACTGCTGACACAGTAATTATATATGACAGGTAAAAATTTATATTTTAGGATTTAGGCCTTCCGTCTTATCATCAGTAATTCTTGAGTTCTTTATTGAGGAAAAAGAGTGCACAAATGCAGAAAAAATAGGGCTTTTGGGTGATACCGAACGCTCATGCACACCTCAATAAACTTTGTGTCAGTTAATATTCTTTAACAAGTGCTTGGTTATGTGTATTTACATTGTTTGTAATCCTATTGCAGTGATTGGAATCCCCATGCTGATTTACAGGCAATGGCCAGAGCTCACCGACTTGGGCAGACAAATAAGGTTAAACACCCACTTAATTATTGGAGAGAAGAGTCTTCGTGTTGGCTGCTAGGTTAGTGTGGTCTTATTCCTTTCTTTCATGCAGGTAATGATTTTCAGACTTGTAACACGAGGAACCATTGAAGAAAGGATGATGCAGATGACCAAGAAGAAAATGGTTTTGGAACACCTCGTTGTTGGGAGGCTCAAGGCACAAAACATTAATCAGGTATAGATATTTCAGGCTGAAGGCAACACGACTGTTTGTTTGTCTATCTACGGTTTACGGTAGAAGAGACATTCCAGTGGAACAATTGTCTTGTCATCTTGACTTTTAACAGCCTGTGCCTAATTCCTTTACTCATCATGTCTGGCAATATTATTCTTCTCTCTCAATTCTCAAAAGGCATTATATTGATTATTTTGTGTCCATAAGGGAATGTTCTAAGTTTTAGCCATTAGATTTTTTAGTGCGGTGTAGCCGACATTGTCTCTTAGATGTAATTCAAAACAAAATTTTCGTAAGTCCCTTTCTGTTGTGCATGAAGTAATTATTACCCGATCACTAATAGTTTCCTTTATTACTCGAATGTTCTGATTTTGATGCAGGAAGAACTGGATGACATCATAAGGTATGGCTCAAAGGAGTTATTTGCTGATGATAATGATGAGTCGGGAAAATCCAGACAAATTCACTATGATGATACTGCAATTGATAGGTAACTTGTTTTCCTTCGCTAATATCCTATTTGATTGTATTCAAATTATTTCTTGACTAGATTTTGATGCTAGATTACTTGACCGAGAACAAGTTGGTGAGGAGGAGGCTACATTGGAGGATGAAGAGGAGGATGGATTTTTGAAGGCCTTCAAGGTTTATAATTTTCTAGTCTTCATGCGTAGTTCTTTTTCTGGAATCTTTTAGGCTCTAAAAGCTATGACACATATTTACCACATATTGATAGGGTATTATGTGATATGGCTGCAGTGAGCTGTTCCTGCACTAATTTCATTTTCATTAATGACCCATGGATCTTCTTTTAATATTTTTTTTTTTTTTTTTTTGTGTTTGTGTTGGATATTATTCTATTTTTCTGGAAAGAAGCTCAACTGAATTGAATTCCTCAGGTAGCAAATTTTGAGTATGTTGATGAAGCTGAAGTGGCAGCTGAAGAGGAAGAATCCGTAGCACCAACAGAGAGTAAAGTCTCAACAAACAATTCTGAGAGAGCAAGCTACTGGGAGGAATTGTTACGAGACAAATATGAAGTGCAGAAAGTTGAAGAATTTAATGCTATGGGCAAGGGAAAGAGGAGCCGTAAACAGGTATGTTTTACTTGAGATCTTTGCCTTTGGTTACATGAGTTCCTTATCTTGATGAAATATTTAAGTTGAAGGTTGAAGTAGCTTATTTTTCTAATATGCCTTTTCTTGGAGAGCTTTTATTCTTGTCATAATTACAGGGACAATATTCTTTCTAAAAGAAAGTCACGGGTACAGTAGTAAGTTTAGTGTCTACATGGTACATGTACTGGTATGGGTAAAATATCTTAGTTTCTGACAAACAAGAAGGGTTAAGGATTGCTGTTAGAGAGAGATTGTACATCTTTGTGAAGGGCTCTAGTTCCACAGTTATGGAATTGAGAAGCACGAGGAAAACTTTGATTCTTTGATCTTGTGAAATATACTTTACGAGTTTAGGACTGTCGGCTTCATATATAGACTGAATAACGCTACTTGATCCTAGCTAAACCATGGACCATAACCTTACAAGTTTGACCAGTACAACAAAGTTCTCACTTCAAAGATTATATCAGAATTGACCTAAAGGAAAAGAAAGGCTCCATTTCGGGAATATTTGCAACCCCACTTGGTTTCTAGGAAGCTCCATTTTGGGAATACTTGCGACCCCACTTGAACACAGACCCCCACAGAGTTCTTCTCTAGCTACCATGACATTTTCAACTCAGAAAGAACCCTTTGTGAGCGAGTGCAAGTGTTTTGCTGTTGTCTCTAAAGGAGGCTTTCATTCATGGAAATTGAACTTGATGGGTTGACAAAATTCTTCATTTGGTGCACTTTAGGCTTATCTAAGTTCCAGTGTCACTTCTCAGTCCTGATTATTATTCTTAATGTTGAGTTTCTCGATGCACTAGTTATATTTTCTGCGTTTCCCTTTGGAGCGCTGTAAGAATGAGAAATATTTGAAAACTGAACCCAACATGAATTTCTAGTTTGGGTTTTCTATCATGGGTGTTTGCTCTCTTCGCTGTTCATCTATTTGTTGCCATAATCTCTGTACATGCTATATGCAGATGGTATCTGTTGAAGAAGATGACCTTGCTGGCATGGAAGATGCAAGTTCTGATGCAGAAGATGATAACTATGAAGCTGAGTTGACTGATGGTGAGACAGCTTCAACTGGAGCTGCAGCTGTGAGAAAACCTTACAGAAAGAGAGTCCGTGGTATAGTTCAACAGACTGTTATCTATTTTGCAGATTGATTAGATGAATTTCATAGTGACATTTAACTATTGCCGCTTTTTCTCAATTTTTATCAGTGGACACTTCTGAACCACTTCCTTTGATGGAAGGCGAAGGGAGATCCTTTAGAGTACTTGGATTTAATCAAAATCAAAGGGCTACATTTGTCCAAATTTTGATGAGGTTGCATTTCTTGTTTTCTTCATTACATTATATAATTAAATATCTTCTCTGCTTTGTTTATCCTTTTCAGCTGTTCCTCTTCCCCCACTCTCTCTCTCTCCAACGCACGCGTGTATGTATGTATGTTAAATAACTCATTTTTTACAGGTTTGGTGTTGGGGAATATGACTGGGCAGAGTTTGTACCACGTCTAAAGCAGAAGAGTTACGAAGAGATCAGAGAGTATGTGGTCTTAGTCCTCTGTACTACGTTGCTTCTCACATTTATGTCAAAACAACGGGCGAGGGAATTTGATACAACATACAGTATATAGAAAGAGAATAATATACCATGCTTCATCATTACGTCTCTGCTAGAGTATTTAAACTGGTGCAGGCATCTTAGGCTCATATTATATGTTGTCATGGTTTACATGCTTAAGAAGCAGCTATCTACTGCATGTGCTCGTTCTGTCCAATACATCATACATCTCTAAAATGCTGTGTTATTTCTATTTACTGTTTATTCATGTATTTGTAATTTTGTATTTATGTGCACAGTCAAAATTGGGTGTCTGATTTCTCGAATTTTGTTATCCAACAAACTTGATATGGCTAATGGCTTCCTAAAATATAACTCTGTTAGTCTTGTTGGTATATTCTTCTTTCTGTTTACTTCTTTTGATAAACATTATGTGTTACAAAACAATTTTACTAATAGCAGACCTTTCCTGAGATTTGAAAAAGTAGACAGAGGAATTGTAAATCAATCGAGGAGCCTTCTATTCTGTTTTGAGATTGGCTAGCTCATAAAGTTGATTTCAGGTTCAACCAGAAACTGTAGGCTAACTAGTTTTGCATTTTTTTTTTATTTTGCAGCAATTTCAACCTACTTTCATCTTAAACTGATACAAAAAGAAAAAGAATATAATCTACACTGTTTCTGGACTTCACTTTTGGGACTTGTTGTATGATAGCATGCCAAAGGAAGTCCTTAAGTAGTCCATGCATATGTTCTTGGACTTTGAAATTGAGTCTTCAATATAACACACATCCATATGTATCTGTGAGTTCATTTGGATGAGTGACCATGCAGAGCAGACTTGAAGAGAAGCTTTTTAATATCAACTTTTTATTCTCACTAGAAGTCTTGAATTATGCCTGCCATTTATTTCTTGTTTAGCTGAAGATACTTAGCCCCTGTTTGGTAGCCATTTTTTCGGAAAAACATTGTTTCGAATAGTGAATTTTTGAAGGATGTGTGGTCGAAAAGAAGGGAAAAATATTGGATTTAAGCGTAAAATATTTTACCGTGTGAATGTGTGGTTGAAAATGAGTATATAGAAAAAAGAGTTTTGAAAGAATGAGAGGCAAACATGGGCTTATTGTTTACTTCAACGGTTAACGGTATTTCGTGCTGAACAACTAAATTTTTTTTTTTCAGTTATGGGAGGCTTTTCTTGTCACACATAGCTGAAGACATAACTGACTCACCAACGTTCTCAGGTTATTACTTTTAATTCTCAAATTTGCCAGTTAATCTGTTTTCTGATGTTTTTCTGTATCTCGGTTAAAGTAAGGTTAATAATTTCATATTTTCTCTTGGTGGCAGATGGTGTTCCCAAAGAGGGACTAAGAATACCGGATGTACTCGTTAGGATAGCTGTCTTAATGCTTATTAGGGACAAAGTAAGCTGTGTTTCTTAGATAAATCACAATTATATTTTTCATTATTGCAAATAGACTTTTGAAGGTTTTGTGCTTTGTGATGACTCTGAGGTCACAGTTACTCATCATGTCTCTAGAGTAAATCATAATCTTATCTTTTGTTATTGCTAATGAAATTTCTGAAGTTTGGTGCTTTGTTCTGGAATCATGTTCACTGATTAAATCTCATGATTTATTTTTTCTTGCTGTATTTGAAGGTGAAATTGATCTATCTTTTTTGTCCTGCTAACGTGGCATGCCTAGCCTAGTTTGTTCTTCAAATAAGAATTTTTCAGTGTCATCATTGTCTGTAGCTAGACTTTATGTTTAAATGTGAGACTAGTTGAGTTTTTTGACTTCTCTGGATGCAATTGGAAAAGATTCTAAAAATTGTGCATTGGAATGGCTTCTTGGAAATGAAAATAAGATTTTATTTTTTTTAATTTTTTGAAGTGTTGAAGCAAAACCATTTACAAAATCTACATGAATATCCATTTTGAAGATCCAAAACTATCAAGAAATTTTTATTTTCATATTATGTATATAACTATGTTTCCATTCATTTTTGTATTATGTCTGAATGTGGCAGGTCCACATTTTCCTGCTGTACTATTTTCGAATAAATTTTGGAACGATCCTATGCTCTTGTATAAAAATTACTCCTGCCATGAATCTGCAACTTTGAAACATTGGAACGATTAGATTATAATACCCCTGTTTGGTGTAAATTAAAATCAGTTCTTTAGTAGAGTTAGATAAAAGTTATGAAATGTGTGGTTGAAAAGTTGTGGGTTCCACGAAATATGTTGCTAAAATTAATTGTTTAATCCCATTTTAATCTTTACCAAACAGGGGCTATATGAAAAAGTGGGATCTTTTGAAGTTCTATGGGTATCTTGGCAGTCAGATTATTGTTGTATTATAATATTTTGTCATAAAGAGAATAATGTGCAACTTAAGAGTTACTATTTCATTCTTTAAACGTTTCATTTCTATGATGTTCAATTCAATTTTGAAAGACCAGCCTGGTATGTTGACAGGTGAAGTCTTTGCAAGAGGGAGGTTCTGCTTTTTTTGCGGATGACCTTGTATCTCGTTTCCCTGGATTGAAAATTGGAAAACTTTGGAAGGAGGAGCATGACAGGATTCTTCTGCGAGCGGTATTGAAGTATGTTTTCTTTTCTTCCTGTTAAATTGAAGTTTTGCCTCTTTTTATAGAGCAGTTCTAGCACAGAAACTTTTATAATAAAAAGATTAAAGTTTCATAACAATATGGTATGTATAGATAATCCAGTAATGTTTTCAATAAGGATTTCAAGAAATGAGTTTTACATATTAGTAGACATTTAACAAAAAATGGAGTTCAAGAAATGAAATTGCCCAGATTAAGGAAAAATATGGAATTGTGTCTCCCTTGAGACACAATTTGTTACTACATCTATTGTTAGGAACTATGGAATATAATATTGCTGAATACTTGTAATTTTTTGTTGCCAAGAATTTATTTCAGCCATCCTTCCGGTAATATTTATCTGTTGACCTTCGAAGCAGGTAGTTGAAATGAAATTTGATTGAACAAGTCACTCTATAAATTTCTCGGATTCTATTTGGATCATTATAATTTACTTTTATTTTGTTGGACATCAAGACATGGTTATGGAAGATGGCAAGCAATTGTTGATGACAAAGAATTGAGAATCCAAGAAGTGATTTGTCAAGTACTGAACCTTCCCTTCATAAACTTACCTGCCCCTGGGGATTTTCAAGCCCAAAGTTCTGCCTCAGGAGCTCCACAAATACAATCTTCTTCAGCGACTCCTCAAACACAGGTTTCTACTTCTGGAGTTCCTCAAGCACAAAATGGTATGAACACATCTGAAATTGGAACATCTGGAAATCAGGTGAAAGGAACCAGTAGTGAAAACGACCTGGGGGCAGATGTTGCACAGGGACTAACAAATTCTGCAGCCCAAACACAACCTGTCCAAGATCATTCTGTACTATATAGTTTCAGAGAGATGCAGAGAAGACAAGTTGAGTTCATTAAGAAACGAGTGCAACTTTTGGAGAAATTACTTACTGCAGAATACCAGAAAGAATATTTTGTAAGTTCTTTTACTAGTTATATCATAGATGAAAACTTGTCCGTTGTTTCAAATTTACTCATGTGAATTGTTTCTGTCATCAACAAATAAATAGAAGCACGAGACTAGCTCTCTCTATAACCTCTAGTAGAGTGGGTGGGACAAAGATTTTTAACTTAGTTATTGGGTCATTTTCTATATGCATCTCGATGCACGAAATGGTGATTAGTTAGGCAGAAGTTTGTCGGAAGCTTAGCTGTGACTAATTAATTACAATTTTGATCTTTTAAAAGTGACAAATCATATTACTTGCTTATTTTGTTATCTAAATGAATATACTTTTCAGGGTGACAGAATGCCAAATGATGAGACTGGACACAATGTTACTCATGTAGCAAATCCAAGTTTTGTGGAATCAGATGGCCAAATGATTGACCATTTGCCTCAAGCTGAAATGATTTGTAAGTGTAGCCTATTATTCTTTAAATTTGCCCCCAGAATATCAACAATTCTGCACAGATCGAATTAGACTATTACCTGAGAAAAGAACATGTTGAATGTGTTCCTGATTTCGTGTCTGCATGGTGTACTGAGGAAGATGGGGTTCGTGGTGGATTTTGAAGAATGAATCATCATTGACATTGTATATGGTTTTATTTCACCATGAAGACTCTTTCGCATGACTTTTCATTTATATAGGGTTCAATGCTCGACGAGTTTTTGCAAAATTCTGAAATGTAATTAAACAGTGAGGACTATGACGTGTAATTAATTTTTCTAATGCAGTTCCAGAGGAAGTGTCGAAGGCTGCTTGCGACAACAAATCAGATCGCTTGGGTATGGTTCGGCTCTACAATGAGGTAAAATGCGTACAGTTGAATCTTATTGACGGTGTATGCATCATTATTTGGCATGTTTTCATAATTTATCCAACAGGATCGCCATATACTTCCTAGTGATGTGGCTTTTAATTTGCTTGCAGATGTGCAAGGTACTTTCAGAAAATGCCCTAGATTCAGTAGCAGCACTTACACCTGACAAACCTGAATGCTTGAATTTGAGGAGAAATCTTGCTCCACTAGAAGCATTGAATCAAGAGATAAACCATTTACTTGTACCAGCGTCTAGAGAAGATGAGAAGGCAAACGCTGAAAAACCAAGTTCCTCATATATTCCCCGAGCAGATGATTTCGTGCTAGGAGTTGAGGCAGATACTGGCATGAAGTTGTCTGCTGTGGATGTGGATCTTCCAACACAAAGTAATCCGACAGAATCGGCTTGTGATGTTCTTAATGCAGCATCATCTACGGCTGAGATTGAACGTCCTGTGGATTTATCTAGTGGAATTGCAGATATAGAAATGGAGGTGAAGGAGGAGGATGCTAATCTCAAGACCAATGTTGGGATTGATGGAAGCACAGAGAAACTCATCGTTTTGGATGATTAGTCTTATTCAGAATCGCTGCGATATATCTTAACATGTAATTAAGAATTATTGCAATTTCAAAAATAGAAACAATGTAGATGACGTGCAGATTCTTGGTTATTTTGTATGAGCATTGCATTGTTGAACCCAAAAACCGACCTTAAAAAAAAAGAAGATAATTTATATTTTCGATTACTAGTTTCAGTTTGGTTCGATTCGATTCTTGATCCTAATTCATTCATGGTTTTTTGGGTCAATCTCTAAATAGTGGTTAATACTTGTGAAAAGATGTTGCTTGCTTCTTTCCATAAGTTTGTAATTTGAATCAGCTCAGGCATGTACATGTTTCTTCATTTATTGAAAGGCACAAATTATGTCTTCGATGTCTTGTTTAAATTGCTACAAATTATGTATAAATATTCTTCTAAAACTGACAGTCAAAATTGAAAAAGACAAATATTAGGAGTAAAGTAAATGTTTGGAATGAGCCTAGATTTGCTATCTCGAATAAGTTGTAGAATAATGTTTTGTGTACAATCCATGGTTGACAAGGAATTTGACAATTCATGTTAATTCAAATTCGATTGGACGAGAAAGTGTGTGGTGTTCAAAAACTGGCCATTCAACTTTCAACAAGTGGCACATTGTCAAGCTAGATGTCAAAAAAATTGTACTTGTAGCATGATTGTAAATTTTAATACTGCAATATAATTTTGAGGCGTTAAAATTTTAGACACACTTGTGGGGACACAGTAAAATGGAATTTTAGTGACAAAATTGAATTAAATTAAAGTTGAGGGACCAATAAACAATTTTTTGCATGTCACGGACATCAAAACCATCGAGAGTTGGAGCCGTAGACAATTTGGCTGGCGAAAAAAATTCCCTTCGTTTTCACGTCTCCGTCCACCGAACCAATTGGAGTGCTTTTAGGGTACCAAAATTGTGAAATTATAATATATTTTTCACTGTTTTCCCTTGATCCACACACCTCACCTACTATACTATAGAATTAGACTTGAAATCTCACGAACAATTCGAAAACAGAAAGGAAAAAAATAGAAACCTTGACATAAAATGGATCCTTCTATATCTTGGGACTCCTTGCGAAAACAGGTGTGTAATTTTACGCATATTCTAATCTTTTTGTGCTGAAGAATCGGTTATGATTTATGTGTTTTCTGTATTGGCTGAATGTTGGATCTATTTTTCTGTATTGATTGGATTGTTCTAGGTTATAACATAAGATTTTCAGTTGAATCTGGTTCACAGTTGCTAGATCATTTTATAACGGGGAACATGTTACAACCTAAAACTTTTTCTGTGAAAATTGCGGATGTTACATCTCCTTTCCTTGAAAAACGGTGATGTGCATTGGCCATTTCTGATTTCTTGTAACCAAGTTTTTTTATTAGAAAATTGTGAAATCCTTAGAGATGACGTCATTTGTTATGTATATGTATTTTGTAGCATCCATATTCAATGAGTTATGGTGAAAATTTCTGTTTGATCAGAGTACATTGAATTTTCAATGTTTCCAAATTGCTTTCATTTACTTTCATTTTAATTATTCATCGTTGTCGAACAAATTTATAATGCAGACAAGGTTGCGTAGTGCTCTTACCCAAAAGAGATCTGCACCTATTTGGGTTTTCCTTTAAATCCTAAGCTACTGTTATCACTGAATAGCTTGGTAGCAGCCTACTTGAACAGTTGAACATTGGTTGACCCCATCATTTGATGGAAGTGGTTATTTTTTCATAAAGCCCTTAATTCATCAAAGAATAAAGAGGAAAAGAAAAAAAGAACTCTTTCCGGCCGATAAGGAAAACCTATGACCTTGTTAGTCCATAAAAAAAGCATTTATTCATTTCATTGGAAGAAACCTTTACCTGTATAACAGCAGAAAGTGTAAAAAATGAGTTAAATTTCACTTGTTTGAGATAGTCTTACTTCATTCTCCCTTTTACAGATCATATTTTTGCCTATACACATATATGTGCATTATTTATACGATCTATTTGGACTTCGAATTAGGTAAATTACTTTAGAGCTTCTTGACTCATTTCTGTAGGGGAGTCTCCTCTTATTTAAGGTTCTAATCTCATTTTCTCGAGTCATATTTTTTTTTTCAAAGGTAATCAAATATTATATAAATCAATGAGTCATTTGCTCGAGTCATTAGCAATCATATTCTTTCTTCAGCAATTTATTTATTTGTTGTATATTTATCTTGATAGGGATCTGCGATTTTGTTTTGTTTCTTTGTCTCTTCTTTGAAATATTTTTTTACTAAGTTTTTTTTTTCTCGGTGTATATCTGGATAGGCAAGGAAACTCGAAGCACAACTCGATGAACAGATGCATTTATATCGTAAATTAGTATCAAGAAAAGTTGATAATACTAATGATAACGATTTAGAATCTGGAATTGAGCATCTTCTCAAACAGCTTCAACAAGTAAATTTGCAAATGCAAGCTTGGGTTTCATCTGGAGGATCTGAAATTTTTTCTCATACATTGACTCGACATCAAGAAATTCTTCAGGATCTTACTCAGGTATGCAATTGTTTGACAACTTGACTATGCAAATTAGCTGGAATTAGACATTTTGATTGCAGCATGCTTTTTGTTCCAATAAAACTTGGTATTGATTATGATGATGAAGTTTTTATATGGATAATTTTTATAATGACGCGGCTTTGTGTGATTGCTGGACTTCTGGGGCAAAATACATTGGAGGGGACTCTGGCGTATCTATTATTAACTCTATGAGATGTTTTAACTTTACTGTGTAAGACTGTAGCTGAAATCCTTAATTTATCAAGTATTTAGTTACCTGGGGTACAGAATGCTAAGGTTACCTGAAAGTATTATGAACTGCTACATCTCTGAAATGCTGTAAAATAGTGCTTTGAAACCAGTGGTGGAGGGGGAAGGGGGCCAGTGGGGCAGTCGTCCCTACTGAATTTGGGATTTTTTTTTTTCACAGAACATTTTTTTAATGTAATTGTTTTTCTTTGTCTTCGAAATGGAATCTGAATGCAATTCTTTTCCAAGCTCCAAAATACACTTACAAAATGGAACCCCATGGTCCCCACCCAGTTTTTAAAAAGGCAAAATCAAGTACTAAGGCGTTTTTCTGTTGCGAGGCAAGGTGTTAGCCTCAAGGTGCTTTGAGGCGTATGCCTCAGTGTGAAATAAAAAAATAATTAAAAAAAAAAGTCAAGAAAATACAAAAATAAGCATGTCATAAACATAAACAAACTTTAAAATTCCCAAAACACTAGAATAAGTTTTAATTATCGATACAAACAACCCTCTTGACTGGACTTTTAGTTTAAAAAGGAAAAAATTAGAGAGATCGACTTCAATGACATCCACAGAGGTGATTTCAACTTTAATGGGGATTAAAGGCAGTTGTTTTTCTTGAAAAACATATATTGAAACTTCATACAAGCTTGGATGTGATCCTAATGATATTTCTTGGAATTTGACTTACTTCTTAAGATGACTGTACTAACACAAGTCAATTAACCTAATCTATTGAAGGACTTGTTGAAAAATCATTCATCTAGTTAGTGCATGCATGTATGTATCGTGGGTTCATGCATTTTTTTCATTTAAACATAAGGAAAAATGAAGAAAGGGAGAAGACGAGACAGAGAAGTCGACCAGCAAGAAGAAGAAACAACAAAAAAATAATAAGGAGAAGAAATAAAAGCTGATATTATAGTTTATGTGATTTGTGTGTTATGTTTGTGTTTTAATTTGTGTTTGGACTTGTAATTTATTTTGTTTATGGGTCAAAGAAATTAGCTATGTTTTAATAGGTGGTGGGTTTCTGAATCTGTTCAACCAATGAAATTTGCTAGGAATAAATTAAAAGTTGGCCTAGCCGATTAAAGAGGCACGCCTCTCATTGTTTGAGGTGTGTGAATGCTTACGCCTCAATCAAAACAAGCGCAAGTCTCATTAACTACATCAAATGGTCGTGCTCCCAAGGCAATTTTTGAGCACCTCAAATTGAGGCGCACCTCTGATTTGCCTTTAAACCATGTCCCCACACACTCCCCCACATTTCAATTCCTAATTAGTGGCAAACACTCCTCCCCCCAATCCAATATCTAAACACCACATGCAGTCTCCTATATATATACACTGAAATTCTGAACTGTTTTATTAGAACTTCAGCACAAGACTTGTGTAGTTGTGTTTGATTTTAATTTAAACGTATTTACTATAATTTAAGTGTATTTAATGTAAATTAAAATGATAACCGTTAAAAATTAGAATGGGGTCCTTGACGTTTCAAAGTAATAAAACTCGTAGGGAACAATTGTAAAAGGCTATAACAGTTTCAATATTATTGTGTTACTATTTCATTAGGAAAAAAAATTGTAGTTAGATTTTGCGCTACTAAAATCAGTTCCTGGTTCCGCGCCAGTTTGGAACTGTGTGGCTTGTGTTCTAAGCCCATGTTTAGTTAGTGTTTATAAATTGTATATAATTGGTCAAGCCATTTCTTATTTACACATTTCGTAGGATCCACAAGTATTATTTGCTTATCCACCACTTATTTCTATCTATTTATAATTTAAATTGAATATAAACAACTCCAAGACATGCTTTAAATCATATGGTGCAGAACTGGAAGCATGAAGAAAGAAAGACACAGATGTGATGTCAAATACAACTAAAAGAGTCTCTTCTATATTGTGCTTGTCGTCTATTAGTGATCATTTTGCTTACAACATAAAAACAGCTTTCAGTTTTGTGTAATTGTTAATATATTATCTTCTGTTAAGATTTTTCTTTGCCTTCTGTTCTTCTGATAAGCTGATTGCACGATTCTTTTAGATTTATCTAAATTATGAAGATTTGGCTGAAGTTGATCAAATACATCATTCGGTGTGCAGGAATTTAATAGGCTTCATTCTAGTCAAAGAGCTAAGAAAGAGCATGCTTCTTTACTTGAGGATTTTAGGGAGTTTGATCGTACAAGATTAGACCTGGAAGATGGAGGTGGTTCCTATGATCAAGCTCTCCTCAAGGAGCGTGTTACCCTCAATAGAAGTACAGGACAGGTAATTGAGACTAATCTGGCATTTCAAGGAAGTATTATGAAATGATGTAGTTGAATTACCATGTTTTTCAAATTGAACGAAATTCAGTCTTTATTTCATGTGTTTTTATGCATGATCTAGGGAATAAGGTGGCTAAGCATCTCTTTGTTTCCACACAAATTTAACGACCAACAATACACTAGAGGCTCTTAATGTGCAATGGTGATATTCCCAAATTTTTGACAGTTTAATGAACTTAAACTTCAATCTTGTTTGACAGGTTTAATAATTTGTTTCCTTGGCATGTTTGTGACAGTTGTGAAAATATTGAGACACTGAATTGGATATCCACTGATGGAGCAGAATAAATAATGAGTTTATTTTTCTTTTTTGTCATTACTTACTAACTGCAAAGTCTTTTCCTCAACAACTCCCAAATTGATTTATGTGTTTTGTGTGGCTTAATTTGATTTGTTGGACTTGGACCTACCCAGTGTTAAGTTTTTCAATACACATATTTTTCTTTTGCCATTCTTTTCCTCAAGTGTAGTTGCTGAGCTCACATTGGTTGTTGAGAATTTTTATGTTTAGCAAGCTGAAGATATTATCTTCCCTTGAAAGTCAACAGGGTGAGATAATAATAGATATGTTCGATTCGTATACTCATGTCGGTGGAAACTTGTATTCTCTGCGCCCTTGAATGTAGACCATGAAGTGCTAATCTTAATGTTTCTGTCTGTCTGGATATGCTTGTATGAGTATTACTAATAGAGCACACATGATCAATGGGCAAAGGTAATTTTGAGCAACAAGCAAGCAACAATTAACCATAGATGTGATGTAATCCATGTATTGTAAGCCTAAAAAGTTTTGGAACCCCAAATGACTGGTAGGTTTTTCTGTCTTGGAAAAGTACGAGATGAGTATTGCCAAGTAATTAAAGTAAGCATCAACTTGTTTTCAGAATTACAATTTTTTCATCATCCTCCTATATAACAGTAGTGGACTAGCAAACAATAGATTTCAAGGGGATGGTATGACATGCAAAATCAGGCTACTTCATGTACAAGTTTCCATGCATAAGGATTGCACCTCATACACTTTGCTCATGGCATCTTGCACCAATCACTTCTCAGTGTGGACCGTGGACTGGTGATTGTGTTAACTCATGCAGCTAGCCTCATAGAAGAAGGGATTTTTATGCCTGTATTTTTTGTTGTTTGAGGAGAGAGATTATGAAGGATGACAAGATGCTGGTGAAAATAGCATTTATTAATAATACTAGTAAACTTGATTAGATTCAACTTCAATTTTTAAATGTTGTTGCAGATATATTCATTCCATGTGTCATTGTTTGTGTTGAGGATGTTGTAGACAAACTTGGACTAGGTAATTACCCCAAGGAATTGCTGTTTATGATTGGGGAAGTTGTTTATAATTCTCAATACTTATATTTTTACTGTGTGTTCGTTTTTTATAGCTAATACCTGATTCTTTATTGCTGCAGGTGGACTCCGTGATCTCACAAGCACAAGAAACCTTAAAATCTCTCATGTTCCAACGTTCGACGTTTGGGGGCATTAATTCAAAGCTTAGTAATGTCAGCAGTCGGCTTCCAACAGTAAGGAAATTAATTTTTCATACTGTTGATTTTCTATGTTTTCTTCCATCTCACAATGTGGTGTTTAGAGAGGCGAAGAAGGGTTTTACATATTTTTATCAAGGTATCTTTTGAAGGCATGAGATTAGTTGTTATAGAGCTGTCACAGAGTTGGCGTATAATTTGACTTACAGAACATGGGTGTGGGACCTACGAACTTATTTCTTGGAAGAGTATCATAGGGTATTTGAATCGACAGTTTGTCACAACTAAATGAATTATTCATATGAATAATGCTATTTGCATCGCTCACTACAGTAGCTGACACGTGTATGCCGCGTGGGGCGACTACAAATAGCAGTACTCTATTCGTATCTATGCTGTTTGTTAGAGCCAGATAATGTGACAATGGAGAGAATAGTTTTGCTGATGAATCTGTCAAATTTATATGCATGTATCATTCAAATGTTGCAGGTGAATCACATTCTCACGGCAATAAAGAAGAAAAAGTCCATGGATACCATCATCCTTTCCTTGCTCGCAGCTGTTTGCACGTTTCTCATTTTAATTTACTGGTGGACGAAATAAGAAAACATTGCACAAGAGCACTGGTGGAGCCTTGTGACGTGATCTTTTGCTAGTTATATTGTTTATACGTACCTTGTTATGCTGTCACAATTTTTTTGTTTTCTTTACTGGTATTGGCTTCTCAGACAACATTGTATCCATTTTGTTGGCTACGAAACTTTGGTAAATCTAATCAGGTCGCAAAGGAGTTCAACAATAGCTTGTTTATGACTGGTGAATCCTTCGATTTTTTATTTGTCATTGTAGAGCTAATTCGTCGCTTAGTTTGGACCAAGCACAATAAATTTCTGCCATTTGATACTCTGGTTTGAATGCTGCAGATTGGACAACGTGCTTGATTTTGGAGCGCTGAGAATTGAAAGAGCATCCAATAAGGCATTATTCAATACAAAATATGAAAAGCATCTTTTAATTACTTGTGCAAAAAGGTATCAAGGTAATAATATAAGCGATTATCCTAAGCCGCCGAGTCATAGACGGCAGCTTTCATCCTTGAATAAAATTAAGATTCAAACGCTAACAGCTTTATCTTTCCAATCACTCTTTCATTGACCTAACTTGAGACATTGGCATCAATTTCTCCACGTCACTTGGACTTGGACACCCCTGTTTGATTAGGTCCGTTATGAAAGACTGGTCAATTCACGGGAACCTTAGAACCCCACGATTGAATTGAACACACATTTTGGTAAATGTGAATTTTAAGTCATCATCCTAGTTTAAATAATCTCATTATTGACAAAACTGCGCTAAAACTCTCGCATTATCTCCACATCTTGTTTCTTACTATTACATTTGAGCGTCGGAATTGGTTTATAAATTCGGTAAAAATAAAATATTAATTTGAACGACATATTTATAATAATTACTCATTNCTTGCTACTCTTACTTCCACTTATTATCTCTCTGTGGGACTTGTTCCCTCTTCAACTCAGCGCTTTATAGATAGGCATTTGGATTGATAATGAGTTTTTAGGTGGAAAGGTCCTACCTTACCTTTCAAAAAAAAGTAGCCGAGCCGAAGGAGCTCTCAAAAATAGAATTTGAGTACCACGTAAAAAAGCTAGCTGGATAAACAAGACAGGGATCACCCGCTCAGCGACAAAGACGTGAAAAGAGGGAATAACAGACAAACGATCCTGCTATGAAAAGGAGAAGCGTTTAGGCCCGTGAGTGAGATTTCTGCTGATTGCAGTCACCTTCGGGGTTCTTCTCCCACGCTTCAGCTATCATACCTTTTCTGAATATGATGGGATAGGAAAGTCTTCAACAAATCATACTATTTGTTCATGCATGGTCTTGGTTAGGTAATCAACCCCATGTATAATGTTTCTTATGATTTCTATCAATTTCGTGGGGCTTAATTTTTAGACCTATTTTATAAATGAATTTGAAAAGTTAAAAACAAAATCAAATAATTTCAACGTTGAATATGTGCTCAAATTTCAATTTTTTTCTCCCAGGATTTTGTTATTTGTACATTATTTGCTTTACATCATGGTTTACATTCCATTTGTTTTCAAAACATTGTGACGGGAAAAGGGAAAACTATTTTTTTCTTTTAAATTGGCGAATGACCGTCAAACTTGATGTACACCAAGCATGGTTCTTTCTCCAAAGTGTCGTCGTATAATGGCTGACACGTCACCTACCACAACTTAATTTAAATGGGAGATAATATTAATATAGTCAAAAATTTGTTTTCATATACAAATTGCAAAACACGCATTTGATTTGACCTATTTGTTTAATGAAGTTAGTTTAACTAAGTTTGATTTATTTCCCATTCTCATAGTTATTAATCTCAAGCCCTTAATCAAGTCGGGTAAGATAATAAGACCGGATTGCTATTGATCTGATCAAAATTTGGATAAATCGATATTTTTTATTTATAAATCTTCAACCAATTGATTGATTTATGACCAAAACCCAGTGCCTCGACCGGGTCAATGTCACAATTATCCCTATGCTTACTCATCCAAATGCTATTAATTGCTTTTAGAAATGAAGGCACCAATTTATTTGTACTTTAAATAAAATTCTTAGGACCATGCTAGTGGCACATCAAGATTTACATCGAGGTTTACACCTTTCTCACATGGGGGTGGAGTCCACTCGAATAAAAAAACATTAATTCAATGGGTCCCACCTCCCATGTGAGAGAGATATGTATCCCTTGATGTACAAACTTTGATGTACAAGTGGAATTGTCCAAATTCTTAACACGCTCCATCTTATTCGTACGTGTCAATTAAAAAGTAAAATCAATCTATTTTATTGGCACGCTTGTCATGTGTGACGGAACAATATAATGAATAAAGCAAAAGAAAGGTAGCGAAGAAATTGAGAATTTACCTTAAGCGTGTCCTTAATTTGCTGTAAAGCAACAATAATTTGGAAAAAGAAAAGTGAAAATAGAGACAGAAATCAACCAAAGAAGACCCACAATCACATGCACAAATTGTACTGTTGTTCCCAGAGTTTGGAATCTCCACACAAACAAACAAATTAATTGATTAATTAATCGTGTTTCTATTCCAATCATAATCAAACAACTCATTGCCAGCCTCAATGCAACAAAAAGCAGACACACATTATGGATTTAGAAAAATTGTCATGATTTTATATAATTATACCTCCTTCCACATTTTACTATTTATTTTTCTGATTTCTCATGTTGTTTTCTTCGTGTTTCAATTTTGAATTTTGAATTCATTTTGGATTTTATGTTTTGAGTGTAGATTGTTGAAAATGCGTTCTTTTGTCATTTTGAAAAATTGTTTAAAAAAAAAAAAAAGTTTTGACTTGGCTTTAACTGAAAACGGCTAAAACTATTTTTTTTTGGCGTTTTCCGTTTTCTCTGTAAATTTTGAACTCGTTCTTGGAAATTCGTTTATGAAAATAAGTAAGTAACTATATTTTCAGTATTTTCGAAAACTAAAAATGACATGAAAACAACAAAGAAAAGAGACCCTTAACTTTTTGAAAATTACTTTCACTTTATTGATTCAATGTCACGTTCTTGCAATTGGAAAAATGATTGAAACACGAAGATATTCAAACCTGCCTACCGTTGCCCAACCCAACGGCAATGGATGAAGAAAGAAATTGGTATTGGAAAACACAATTTAAATAAATCCGTTAACTAAATACATAAAGAGTCGTATTGAAGGTTCGACACATGTTTATGTATTACAAGACAATGTACACAAATTATAAAGAAAAAAGAAAAAATCTTCTATATTTTCTTCATGAATTGATTTTACAGCAACTTGGTACAAACACCACGAACAAAGAAATAAATTTCCCATTACTGGGAAAGTGAATTGACAAATGTTAGATGAAATTACGAGTTCTGATAAATCTTTTTTATTTATTTCAATATTATGTTCATGAACAAATGGGTTAGTGAAAAAATGAAAAATGAAGATGAAGAAATACTCAGCTTTTCCAAGCATAAATCAACAAAGAAAATCCAGTAAGAACCTTCAATTCATTCTCTTCCATACTTGCCCATTCCATAACAGAACTGCAACTTGAAGAAACTGATGACAATGACGAAGAAGATGAACTTCCTGCCGATCTCAACGAACCCTTCTTCATTTTCTTGGTTTCAAATCCAAATCCAAATGACTGCTGTGACCACATCACATTCCCGTAATCTTCTTCATCTTCAAATCTGAATGTGAACAATGCATAACCATCTTCACGATCTTCTTCAAACAACCAGTTGTACACATCCCATGAAACCAGCACGTTCACTCCCTCAACTTCAATTCTCTCGTTACCTCTAAATTTCCATTTCAAATGCTTGATCTGCAGAACCCTTTTGCCATCGACTGAAATATACAATCTAGGGTCGTCACCAATTCTACAATCCACGGAGATGTTTCTCTCTTTGCCACCAAAATTGGCTTTTGTAGTGTAAAGCTTGTTGCCATACACATGCTCTCTTCTTACCACCATTGTTTGGTTTCTGTTGGGATTTCTTGCTTTGGTTTTTGCATAGGCTTCTTTTGCAAAATCGCCAACTAGTAATACCATTTCACCATCTATAACAATGGCGATGTAGAATCCAGTCTGGGGCTCGGGTCCAGCTCCATATTTGGCTCTAGAAAGATCCCAAAAGATGTAAGCATTTTTAGCTGATTTGATGTTGATATCAAATCTTTTAGAGCCTAGTTTATTCCAGAAAATAAAGGGCTTGATAAGGAGGTGAAAGGAAGATGTGGGTAAGGAAGGAAAAGTGAAATCTTTGTCATTATCCTCCAAGGCGGCGGCGGAGGAGCAGTTGTCAAGGAGGAAATGGAGGTGGAGGCTCCGGCTGAAGAGGTTGCGGGACCATGTTAAGGCAAACAGGCCTAAACCAGTGTTGTAAAGACAAGTGATTAGGTTAGGATTGTTGGTGGACAGCGGCGCCGTGCGGGAGTGGTGGTGGGTTATAGTTTTGGTGGTTGCAGGACGGAAACAAGAAGGGAGTGGGGATTTTGACATTTTGGGATTGTATAGATGCTTTTTACTCTACCATATGACTAAATTTGAATGGGGTTTTGGTGATGGAATGGATTGAATGAAGAAAAATTGGGGCTTTATGGAGAAGAGGAAGTTGTAAGGGATTCTTGTTAGGAGTGGTTAAAGGGAAGTCTACATTGGATTCCGCGTGTTTGGTTTACTTGTGCCAATGTGAAAGGGTATCGAACACAGTAAAATTGGTCTTTCACTTATCAAATATGTACAGCAACCCTGCTGAACTTCCGATTTAGAATCACCTTAGTCGAACTAAAATCAAATCGTTTTACAAGATTCAAATTTCGATAACTCATTTTAGGGACGTAGTCAAAAAAATAAGGTTCAGACGGATTGAATTGGGTCAAATATTCAAGTAGTGATCAAACTAAATCGTGCTTTTTCAAGTCAAGTCGGATTATGTGAATTGCTGGGAAGTTTCAATGCAGAATAATATGCTAAATATTTGTATTAAATGGAAGGAGAATTAGGGTGAATTTCATAATGTGACAATTATCTGTATTGGTAGTTGATGTGACACCAATACAAGAAGTCGGTTGATATAGTTGACCGCTACACCAATTCAAAGTCAATTTTATGAGGTGGGTCTTTCCCCTCTAACAAGTATAGAAGGTTACACATAATTACCTAAATTTAAAAAAATTATTGAATATTAAACATGAGATCTTTCATGAACCTTGATTAAACTCGTTACTCATGATTTGAATAAAATTCAATCTTCAAATGCATTAACCACCACCTCCACCATATTATTGCTTGATACACTTACTCGGACTTCTAAAACATGATAAATTATGATTAATTCAACGGATATCTACCTAATTTATTAAAAAAAATATGTTAGCTGTATGAAAATCCCCGATTTGGATGTACTACCGCGATGAAAAACAATTTTGAACATAAATGAAGTTGATTCAGAGCAATTAAAGATCAATCGAATCGCTACGAGAGTAATCAAAAGAATTAAGAGATTCACAAGTTTTGAGAGGTAAATTCATTATTAAGAAAGTTTGGGGGCCTAATTGTAAACTATTGAAACTTGTAAGGGATCAATTAAGGACAAATGTGAAGGATGATGATCAAGTTGTAATGATTAAAAGATGAAGGATCCATGGTGCAAACAAAAGGGAACTCGACTTAGACATTAAAAGAAGTTTAGGGATCAACTTGCACAGAGAAAAAAAAAATGCTAACCTTGCAATCGCAAGACCACAATGGTTCTATCACAAGTCTATGAAATGTGTCACCAACGACTAGAACAACAAAGCCATGTGATCACAACCAAACACACTGTGTGCTCGCTTGGCCTTTACATTCAGTCCAATTTTATTTTCTAAATTCATTCAACCTCTATTTAAAAAGCAATTGTGGCATGAGATTTGACCAATTTTAGGGTTTATGAACACGTCTTCATCCATGGTAACCAAAAAATAAAAAAGAGAGAGAGAGAGAGAGAGAGAGAGAGAGAGAGAGGCTTTTGGAAATGCAATAGACATATATCTTACAAAGAAGTCAGTGGGACGCCTTGGATACATATTATATATTTTTTTACAAGATTTAGAGAAGGTTTTGGATTCAAAACACATTCCATACCAAATTTAAAACATGTAGTAACAATTATTGTAATGTTCAATAAGGATAGAGATACTCCGTTATAGTTTGCATAATCATATGAATGTTCTTGTGATTTAATGCATATTTAGATGTCCGCATCCTTTATAAAGATATATGAGGGTTAGATGTGAAGATATGTCTAATTCTCTTGAGAAAAATTAAGAACATCGATCGTTAAGTCCAAATGAAGATATGTGCTCTTTGATTCTTTAGTTAGTAAGATTGAAAGTCTTTTTCTATTTACTTTTCATACATTTTAGTATACTATTGTAGTGTCTAATCTTGTTCATAATCAAGTAAGGTTAATTGGGTTGGGACACTACACACACACACACACACGATTGAATAGGTATTTAATGAAGTTGTCACCAAATTATTTTGGTTGGCATAACAAAAGAGGTCACACCATTCAAATTGTTTCCTACCACATTATGTTTCCATCCTCCTTCTAGTTGCGCTTTCATTTTTCTCAAGTACATCTATGTACTAAAAATGTACCGTCTAATAATTTTTAAAATCTTATACCAGCAAGATCGAAAGGTACTAAGAAATAAAAGTTTGCAACACAAACATCAATTGTTGTGTTATCGATTCTCGACTTTTTTCAATCATATCGATCGAGGCAGTTGGATGAATTCGATAAATAAACAAGCTCGTGATCGTTTGAAGAGAAATAGAAAATGAGTGATGCAATGATTCTTGAACAAACAAACGTTAAAAATAGGAGTGACCCACCATGTGCAGTGATTCGACTACCCTCCAGTTACAACTAATTTTGAAGGAAAAAAATATATATATTAACTAAAAAAGTAGTTGTCGTAAATTTTTATAATGCATGCAGAAAATTAATATATCTCTGTTGCCAACCATATGCAATTATCATGAAAACATTAGATTTACATCTCAGCCTGAAGAAAGTTTTGGTGGCTTTTAAGTTAGTTTTACTTGAACGTGCAACTATATGTAAATTTAGTCATCCGAAGTTGAAATTCAAATTAGAGTAATTAACACGTAACGTCCTCACCTTTCACTGTTATTGTGGAAAATGTCATACCCATCATTTTGGCATTTTTCGCCCTTATTTTTACATTTCATTATGCAAAATGTCATTTTCATCAAATTTCCCAATCAAAAATTGTAAAATGATGAATATACACTTATCTCTAAATAAAACAAAAGGAAAAAGAAAAAATTAACTGCAATTATAGACCCAAATTTTTTTAAAAAGAGCAAATGAGTCCCAAATAAATTATTAAAAGGGTGGTTAGCACATAATGTCTCTACCTTACACTATTATTGCAAAAAAGTCAAATATTTTTTATTTTTTTGTATTTTCACATTTAATTATATATTTGATTACGCAAACAATCATTTTTATCCATTTTTATTCAATTTATCAATAAAAAGTTGTGAAATGACGAATATATCCTCCTATTTAATTTTAAAAAAAGTTAAACAATTAATTGCAATCATAATCCCAATTTTTTAAAATTGCAAACGAGTCCTCAATAAATTATTAAATTTAAAAAAAAAAAAAAAAAGAATATGCAAACGAGTCCCAATTAAATTTATTAAATTTTTTAAAAAATAAAAAGTGCAAACGAGTCCCAAATAAATTATTAAATAATTAAAAATTTAAAAAATATTTTTTATTTAAATAAGAGGGTATATTAATTATTTCACAATTCTTTATTGAAAAATTGGATGAAAATGATGATTTGCGCAATATAAGGTGTAATTAAGGGTGCAAAAGCCAAAAAATGGAAGGTATCGATGTTTTTCGCAATACGGTGAAAGGAATGGACGTTATGTACTAATTACCTTTTTAATAATTTACTTAGAACTCATTTGTGCTTTTTTAAAAAAAAAATTGGGATTATGATTGCAATTATTTTTTGCTTTTGTTTTATTTAAAGAGAATTGTATATTCGTCATTTCACAATTTTTAATTAAGAAAACAAATGAAAATGACATTTTATGCAATGAAAAGTGACAATAAGGGTGAAAATGCCAAAAAATAAAATGTATGAACGTTTTTCACAATAATAATAAAAAGTGAGGACGTTATGTGCTAATTACCCTTCAAATTATGGTCCAAACCGTAGTATGGTAGGAATTTTTTAATCCTCAAAATTTTCAGAACTTATAATTTATGAATATTTCTTAGTATAAGTAGGGTGCAATGATTTTTAAGAGACGCAACTAGGTGAAGAAGTATGGCAACCACAAGTGCTTAGGAGCGCCTACGAACGGGACAAAGGAAATTTTAGTTAGATTAAAAGTATAAATATATACCAATTTTATTTTTCGTTGGATAGGTTAAATACAACATTAGTTTGTCATCTCTATCTATTAAAGATATGGATATATTTTCACATTCTTGTAATATTGTGAATTTTTAAAATGTTATGATATTATATCCTTTCTGTGACGGTATAGGATCTTGATTTTTACGTTTGCTTGTACTCTATAAATAGGGTTGTTACCTTTGTATTTCATTAATAGGACATTTACACGATTTTTATAAGTCTTCTTGTGCTTTATGTCTCAATTATATTAGTTCATAATTATTTCCAACATCGATGTTTGAGTCATGAGCAATGCTATGGGTACAAAATTGATGTAAGAATTTGGGGCTCCAATAACCAATTTTCGGGCTCAGAAAACAACCAAACGAACACCAATCTCCAAAGGCTCGACCCAACAACCCTCTACACATTAGTTGCCTCTTTCTGCCCTCTTCGATTGCTCTCTCTTTAGTATCCACAAAGGACATTAGGTGGTGACTACAATGGAAAAGAAACAAGGTGAACAACAATGATGGAATCTCTCCATTTCCCCTTAAAACCTGGCTGCCCCCCTTTCTCACATTTTCTCTTCACTTGTAGCACACTCAAAATGGTAGAGTTTCTACCATATAAAAGGGCTAGGTTTAGGCCACTCCTGTGGACCAAGACTCACTCATAATGGAGCAAGTTAATGGGCTAATAACCAAATCCATCCATTAACTAAACTACCAACCCAACCAAACTTATGCCCTCCAATGTGTATTAATTGTTTCCAAGTCGAGCCGTAACCGCTAAAATAATCCTACAACTGTTTTACATCATCGTCCAGATTTATTGGGTATCAAAAAAATCCAACAATTCTCCACCTCGATTCCCAATAGATCTACAAGCAAATAAAACACAAAGTTCATACTCACACAATTAAGGTAACCAATAAAATTGGTGTCACAGACCTTACCTCGTGTTTCCAACCTGAAACACCTACCATACCTGCTCCATATACTCACCATGGCTAAGAGCAAGAACACTCCAGTAGAAATTCAAATTAGAGTAATTAACACGTAA